GAAAAAATAAAAATAAAGAAAGAAAGCAGTCCAGCATCAACACTTTTGAAAACCCAGAATGCCCTGAAATCTGAACAGAGGATTGTGTGTTTCACATGTCACCCCCCCCCTCACCTCCCCAACACAACACAGTCACAATACAGTCTGACTGAGATAACAGTGGACAATGTGTCACATTGAAGAGCTGTTAAGAGTCTAAGAAACTAGCCCTTGTTGTCCTTGCTCACATTCAGCACCGACCTGCACGTCAATCCCCACATCGGGACGCCAAGCTCCGTCAGTCCCGGCGCTAAGGTGCTTTTTCAGAAATCACAACAGCTTTCACTACTGAGCTTGGTTGCAGATGAAAGCAAGGGTTTCTTTTTTTAAAAAAAAAAAACGATGCAACTGTGTCGTAGTTAAATCCGCAGCTTGAAAGGTAAAGCTCATGCAGTCTTCCATCGCCCATGCAGTTGTTTTTTTTTGTTTGTTTGTTTGTTTTGTTTTTGTTTTTGGGATGTTTTTTGCATTTAGTAGGTTTTTGTAGAGATACGTTACAGCAGGAGTAGAGTTTGGTAAAAAAAATAACATGAACAGCAGGAGTGATTTCATTTATTTCCTGTTTGTTTGTTTCTTCGTTTTTGATTCTAGGTTAAGAAAAATCATCTGTGCCTTCATAACCGTCTGCATCGTCGGATGTACAGGAAGTGATCGTTGTACAGTGATTTTTTTTATTTAACATGGCTTGCTGGAGGAACACATTCTTTTTTTTTTTTCCCCAATATATAAGGCTTGTTTGTCCTAAATCAGTCATATTACAGTGCCACCATACACAAAACAATTAAAAGAAAAAGAAAAAACCTGAAAATAACGCATCTTACTTCTTTTTCTAATAATTTCAGTACGTGTTGGTTACTTTTCTCTAAATTGTTAGCATCACAAAAGCTTTATTTTTTTCTCTTTCTTTTTTGTTTCTTTGTTCAATTCGGCTATATTTAGTTCTGATTACATTTGTTTGCAGAAGCATAATATCAAACACACACATGTTCAGGCACCTTCTCTTATTTTCACACCATAAACAACCTCAAGAACTTTACTCTGAGTGCATTATTGGCTCTTCCTTGCAGGTTTGACCGAGCCATTTAGCAATTTTTATTTATTCCTCTCTCTCTCTTTTTTCTGCTTCAATGAAGCCCTGTATGCTTTTCTCTAAATAAAATAATAGTTACTACATCTGAGGACAAAAGTCACCTGGTCGGTACCAAGTTGTGGTAATAGATTGGTACAGTCTTTAACCAGGTTATATGTTGTCCTATTGCTCGTTAGGATGCAGTTTTCATTGGGTAACTGAATGCATAGCACCATCTGTATATGTCCTCTCTGCTAGAAAGATCATCAGTATTTTCTCCATCGCTGTGTTTTTTTCTCTTACCCCCC